GATATATATATATATATATATATATATATATATATATATATTTGTAATTATTAAACTAGATAAGTTAAATTTTTTAACTTATTTTACTAAGTAGGATTAGATAAGCCGAGGTTCGACATGAAACATTTTATTACTTTACTTCTAATAATTTTTTCTTAATTTATAAAAAATAACCAAAATATTATTTATAAAATTAAAAATATTTAAAATATAGTAATTTTGTATTTATGGAATAATTGTAAAATAATCTAATATATTTATTATTTCATATTTTAAAACTAAAAAAAAATTAAATTCAAAATAAGTTAATTTTTTGATAAACTTTAAAATAATTCTTTCATGCGATAAAAAAACTTACAATTTTATAAATATTTTAAATAAAATGATGTATATAGAGAGAGAAAAAGAGAAAAGGTTCAAATGAATTAATGTAACTTTTACTAGCTATTATATTATTCAATAACTTTATATTAAATGTGAATTTTGTGAATTCAACCATTGAATTATAAAGTCATATCACCTTATATATTTATATCAAATTTTGTTAATATTGAACAATAATTTAAAGGTAATCAAAGTGTTCATATTTTAGTATGTTTTAAAATAAATATATTATGTCAATTTTGTTCTATAAAAAATGAAATATCAAATCATCTTGGATCAATATACAGTTTTTTATATATGAACTAGGAGTAAGAATCTTTCAATCTAATGATAAGTTTAAAAAAATTCCCACTTAATATTAAATTTTTGAATAGCATAATAATTAATAAAAGTTACATTGGTACATATTATACATATATATGTATCGGTGTAACTTTTACCAACAATTACACAACTTAATAATTTTATATTAAATATAAATTTTTTATCTAATTTTATCTGAAGGGCTGAGCCGTTCAAATCCGCTGAGCGCCTAAGAGATTCTTCACTGTTAAGCAAGCACAAGGGGTTGGGCGCTTCATATCCGCTGAGCGCCTAGGAGGCAAAGAGCACTCCTTCTTCCAAGGCCAAAACCGCTCAGTGCCTTAGAGTGGCTAAGCGCCTCTCCTTTGCTGCATTTGTTGAGCTCTCTGGCTTGAAAGCGCTCAGCCATTTTAAACGGCTGAGTCGTTTGCCTCCAGATTTCAAAACCTACAAAATAACACTAAAT